CCAGAACACATCTTAAGGCCAATATTCAATAATAGTCATAGCGCCACCTGCTGGCAACAGGAAGTGAAATGTTTAGCACTGTTATGGACTCCTAGGAACATATTAAAATTCGTCAGCAAGTGTTACACAGGCTGTCAATATGCTAGAAACATACTAAAAAATGCTAGCAACACGTAAGAATACTGGCCTGAAGACATCTACATGTCAATGTTCTGTAATAATTATAGTGCCACCTGTTGGCAACAAGATATGCCATGCTTTACACTAACTCAAACATACCATGTTCAATCTGCACCAGACTTCACATGTTTAATAAAAGTGCTGGCCTGAAGACACCTACATGCCAACATCCAGTTATAATCATAGCGCCACCAGCTGGCAGCAGGAAGTTTGGCACATATGAATGACTTTGACATATTCCTCCTATATTTACCACTTATCGCATATTGCCCACTGTTTGCTGTTTTCCTAAAGCCACCGGGTGGCGGTGAGCCCGGGTGCGAGGGCCCGTTCATCGCTGCTTGCAGCTTTAATTTTATTTACATTTTATCATTTTGCAGACGCTTTTATCCACAGCGACTTAGTCTAACGACTTGGTCTAAGTGAAGTCTAACGCAGTACATGTAGCAAGGGTTTTTGACCTATATTACATACCTACACGATGACCTACATTACATTACAATGTAAAAACTTTAATGTCTAAATTCATCCGCGATGTTTTCGTCTATACCGACAACTTCAAAGCTTTATTTATTTTTATTTTTTTTGTGTAGCCTGCATTTCATATGTTATCGCCAGGATGCACATCAGCGCAGTATCCATTATTATAAGGATACAACAAGCACTGTAACATGATTGATATGCAGACGTTGCACTGTAAATAGCTAGTTATTAAGATATACATCACTCTATCGGAGTCAGCCTAAATGTCTTTTTGATTGTATCCGTCATGTTTATTTAAATTTAATTGGGGATATTAGATTAATGCCGATCCATTTTGTTTATTTAGATTTTATATCATTCTTATATAGCTATTACAAACATTTTCAATAATAAACTAAATAAAAAAACAACCATTAAATTTATATTAAGTCTTTACCTCACTAATAACGCCTCAGTCAGGTCAAAGAAATGTTTCATTAGTTGCTTTTCATACTATCATCTGATACAACACTCAAAAAAAGTCTCGAGTGAGAGAGAGAGAGAACGGATGGTTTATGTCTTTAGCCATTTATTTCCAGGGATTTCACTTGCATATAACACACAAAAAAAGAAATGGTCATCTTTGTGTTAATATGCATTGTCTCCGACCGTGTGTGTATTTATTTGCTGGACATGGGATTAACTGTAAAAACCCGGTATAACACGGGATAACCTGGTTTCAGTGACCTGGTGCTGTGTTTGCGTGTGGACGAACGGCCAAACCATGTAGAAAAAAGCTGCGGTTTTAAAAATAACCGCGTTCGTGTGGACAGGGCCTTAGAGAACATCTGACAGGAGATCAGAGACCATTCCTTCATACAGAATCTCTCCAGACCCTTCAGATTTCCAGCTGCATGTTGATGCTTCTCCTCTTCAGTTCACCACTCTCATTTTCTATAGGGTTCAGCTCAAGGAACTGGGTTGCCCAGGGCAGAAGCTTGGTTTTGTTCTCAGTGACCCATTTTTGTTTTGATTTTGATGTTTGTTTGTGGATCATTGTCCTGTTGGAAGATCCAACCATGGCCCATTATAAGATTTCTAGCATGGACAGTCAGTTTTTAATTTTTTATCCATTGGTATTTTAAAGAATCTATTATGCCATCTATCTGAACAAGATATCCATGCTCTCCGGCAGAAAAATAGGCCCACAACATTAAAGATCCAGCAGTATATTTCATTGTACACATGGGGTACTTTTTTATCCCTGTGTGCACCAAACAATCTTGAGTGTTTGCTGCTAAAAAGCAATTTTTTTTAGTTTCATTTGACCATTGAACCCAGTCCCATTTAAAGTACCAGGCGTGTCTAGCAAATACATATGCTGGAGTTTTTTTTTTTTTTTTGGATGAGAGGGTTTTTTTTTTTAGTTCGTTCTTTAAACCCCCCCAAACAACATTTTTTTTTTTTTTTTTTTGGATGAGAGGGTTTTTTTTTTTAGTTCGTTCTTTAAACCCCCCCAAACAACATTTTTTTTTTTTTTTTTTTGGATGAGAGCGTTTTCTTTTCTAGTTCGTTCTTGAAACCCTCCCAAACAACATTGTTTTTTTTTTTGTTGTTTTTTTTA